TATATATATATATATATATATATATATATATATATATATATATATATATATATATATATATATATATATATCTATATATATATATATATATATATATGTATATATATATATATATATATATTTATATATATATATATATCTATATATATATATATCTATCTATATATATAGATATCGCGCTCTATATATAGATATATATATATATATATATATATATATATATATATATATATATATATATATATATATATATATATCTATCTATATATATATATATATATATATATATATATATATATATATATATATATATATATATATATATATATATATATATATATATATATATATATATATATATATATATATATATATATATATATATATATATATATATATATATATATATATATATATATATATATATATATATATATATATATATATATATATATATATATATATATATATATATATATATATATATATATATATATAAATGACAAATATATAAATTTAAATAATATAAACTAAATAAAAAAATTAAATGGTACAAATGTCTGTTACCAAGATTGTTGGTGGTTCATTCCACTGTGGTGATGCATGATAAATCATGTTAAAAAAAATAAATAAATGAAGTTTGGATTAAAATGAAATCAGAAAAAGGTCAATTTGACAAAAAAAATTCAAATCTAAAGCACGTTATTAAAATTAAGTTTGAAAATTCACTATCCTACACCTATGAGCGCCCAATTATCCAAATGATAAAAAGCGAAAGTCCCATTTACATCCTATTGAATTACAAGTGCCAGATGGGAGTTCTGAAAGCAGAACCGCTCTATTGACTCAACTATGAACATAAAGAACAGTGCAGTTGCGGTTTCTGACCAGAGGGGGCATGTGTCCTCTGTGCATCTGTCCCATGGTGATTTGCTGTTGGGCTGAGGGCATCGTGCCCATGTTGAAAGTGTCGGGGCCTCCTATTGACCCTGAACGCATGATGCCAGGCAGCGCCACCGACCCGTGCTCGACTCGACCCACCCGGTTAAACTGCTGCTGGAGGATGGTGGACCTGTGAAACAAGCAATAGCTCATTATCAGACTGCATTCACTCTTCTGTCTGTGAATGATGGCTGTTGTTGTTGTTGCGGTAATTACTGACAGCTATTAAACTCAGCTGAGCGACGCACCAGGAAAACAGACGCTTCAGGCACTACGGCTTAATTACAGCTCATTGTGAGAGGCCTCAATTTTTGGATTATAGTGCTAGAAGTAACATGAGTAAGTTGGCGTGAGGACAGACACGGGCACCGATGCCCAACGTCTCCCCCTCTCCTGCATTCAGACATAATGACTATTTTGCAGCCGATGCATCTCATTAAGTTTGTCTGATGTATTAGTCTTAAATGTTTTTTTTTTACATTTAAACCTTTGAATAATTTAAATTCGAAAATAAATATGAAAAATATAATAAATGAAAAATGTTTTCTATTTATTAATGCTAATAAATGTTTATTAACTAATACTCAAGAAGATTATTCACTTTGAATAAACAAACAATAGACAGAAAATTTAATAAATAAATGGAAATAAAAGTAAATATATTTAATGAATAAATAAATAATTAAATGAATAAATTGAATAAATAAATAAGAATATTAGATGAATGAATAAATTAACAATTAGATAAATAAATAAATTGGATAAATAAATAAATACCAAAATAAATTAATACTTAAATAAAAAATATATTTGACAAATAAACATATAAATAAAAGAATAATCAAATATATTGGATAAATAAATAGATATATTAGATAAAAATACATTAGATAAATAAGTAAATAAATAAATAAATAAATAAGTAAACAAATACATAAATATATTGGACAAATAAATAAACAAATATATATATATACATTAGATGCATGAATAAATAAATATATTGGATAAACAGACAAACAAATAAAAAAAATTGGATAAATAAAAAAATAAAAAAATAATGAAATAATGAAATAAATAAATATATTAGATAGATAGATAGATAGATAGATAGATAGATAGATAGATAGATAGATAGATAGATAGATAGATAGATAGATAGATAGATAGATAGATAGATAGATAGATAGATAGATAGATAGATAGATAGATAGATAGAAAGATAGATAGATAGAATATAAAACTTATATATAATATATATTAGATAAATAAGTAAACAAATAAAAATATTGGATAAATAAATACATACTTAAATAAATATATTAGATAAATAAATTGGATTAAACAAATATAAATACATTAGAAAATAAATAAATATGTTGGATAAATAAATTATATATATATATATAAATAAATATATATATATATATATATATATATATATATATATATATATATATATATATATATATATATATATATATATATATATATATATATACATATACATATATATATATATATACATATATATATATATATATATATATGAAATAAATAAATAAACATAAATATATATATATATGTATATATATATACTTAT